GAGGGTGGGGGTAAGAAAAGCAAGAGGGGAGGGTGGGGAGGGAGAGGGGAGGGTGGGAAGCAAGAGGGGAGGGGTGGGGTGGGGAGCAAGCTTAGGCATGCTTGTACATGTGGAAGCCAGAGGCCAACATCAAGTGTCTTCCCCGATCATTGTCCTCATTATTTTTCAATATATTGCTTTTACTTATTTTCAATTTAAATTAACATACACAGTTGTTGGTTTCGTTCTGACCTTTCCTCCTTGCCTATCTTCTCCCCCATGGCTCTGACAGCACCACTTTAATTTCTGAGGCAAGTTCTGTCACCAAACCCGGAGTCCACTGTTTCAGACAGACACGGGCCACTGTGCCCAGCTTTGACATGGATCCTAGGGGTCCTCATGCCTGCCCTAAGTGCTTTACCCACTGAACCATCTCCCCAGTTTCTTAGTTGTGAACTGAGGCAAGGACCTGAAATGCCTGTGACACGTGTTCAGACATCATACTCTATCCCATGAATATGTACAGTTAGTACGTGTCAGCTTGGATGAATATGCCTAACTTAAACGGAAAACGTTCCATTAGCATCATGATCATCAATACAGAAAACGAGATGCAGACCTAAAGGCAACTACCAACCTGGGATGTCTTACACTAACAGTGTGTTTGCTAACTGTCCCTTTCCTTGTAATTATTATTATTATTGTGCCCTTTTAAAAAACAGAAATAAAAGCGTAAAGTGTTTAATTCATTAAAATCCTTCTTAGATTCTGGCCAAGCCATGGTTAGCACCTTTTTTATTGCCCTGTTCCTTACCTAACAGAATCACTGAATGTCCACTCTGCGGTTGTGCTATGCAGCCCTTGTATGTGGCCCCAAGTAGATGCAGGCCTAAAATCGACCTGCATATGAACCCTGCCTCTGCCTTGCAGTGGACACTCAGCCTTGAGTGAGCGTCTCCGTGTCTTAGTTTCCTCTTCTATAAGGTAATATCTAATCACGACCTCATAAAAGCAACACAGACAGACTGGTTACCTGTCCCAGTCAGTGTTCATGTAATCCTCACAGCAACTCCTAGAAAGTTCCATCTCCATGGTACAGGTGAAGCATCTGAGGCATCCCTATGTCATATGACCGGTCATCTGCAGGGCCAAGGATTCTAAGGCAGGTAGGTTCCAGAGTTCACCTTTGAACCACACCCACAGCCTCTGCAAATGAGGCCATATCTGCTAAAAAGCTGGTTTGAATGCACCGAGTGTTTGGCAAGTGTCTGCTAGGTAGCAGCTGTGGTTGTTATCCAAGGTCTGTCCTTTCTTCACTCTGCACAGCCTTTTAGTCGGGTTTGAGAATAAAAGGTTGATAGAAGACAGTCAGGGGAGGCGGAGATAGAATGTGAAAAGGGACAGAGAAGCAACAAGGTAGAGGGACCTGTGAATACCTAGGAAACAAGTGTTGCTGGCTTGGCCTTGAGAGAACAGGGTGCCTATTCGCCACAGAAAATGGAAGCCCCAGTCTGGCCAATTGCATTGCAAATACACACTGACTGGGCATGCCTCAGATACCTGAGAAAGTCGCCTCCGATCCCACCCTAGCCCGGAGGCGCAGCTCAGGCGTGGGCCCGGCTTCCCTAGTTCATCTCCAGAGTCCGCCCCACGCCGGGCGGGGCCTGGCCGGACCACTCTACCGGGGTGGCCCGCGAGCCTTGGGACACCAGCCACGAGGTGGCCCGCGCGCGGGGCTGGGTCTCGATGGCTACGTGGAGGCGGGATGGCCGGCTAACCGGCAGCCAGCGGCTCCTGTGTGCAGGGCTGGCGGGGGCGTTGAGCCTCAGCCTCACCGCGCCCCTGGAGCTCGCCACCGTGCTGGCCCAGGTCGGCAGGGTGCGAGGCCCCTCCCTGGGGCCGTGGGCCACTGGACGCCGAGTGTGGCTAGCTGAGGGGCCGAGGGCCCTGTGGAAGGGGAACGGCGTGGCATGCCTGCGCCTCTTTCCCTGCAGCATGGTGCAGCTGGCCGCCTACCGAAAGTAAGAGTCCAGAGGGAGAGGTCGGGAGGTCGGACTGGGGTGGCGGAGCCACCACCCTGATGCACCAGCACTGGGAATCCTAAAATGTCCCAGCCTCCCTTCCTTCCGGATAACGCGGCGAGGGTGGGGGTGGAGTTGGGGGTCGGGGGAAGGTTTCTTGGGGCCACAAGGTCGTACGTGTGGCCCTTAAAGCAAGGTACCAGTTTTGCACATGCTTTTGAGATTCCCGCCCTGCTGAGTTGTAGTTCTGTGAAATCTTTAGTCTTTCTGGGAGGAATAAGGGGAGGAGGCAGAATTAGCAAATGATATTTGGGGTAAAGAAATGAAAAGGCTTCTCAAGGAGATACGGTCTGACCATTCCCAGTGTCCAGTAACTTGGAAATGTTTGCTTTCACTGGCTTAGGAGAGAATGCTCTGAAAGTGTGTCTGTGAGACCAGTGTACCAAGGAATAAGTGCTCAGTCCAGGAAGAGGGACAGTCTTTTGCCTCAGAAAGATTCCCGCCCATCCCCAACTCCAGACACAGCCTAACTTGGCTTTAGGATCCAATGGGACCTGCAGTTTCCTTTTCCTCAGCAGGGACCTGTCTCCTCAGCCTAAGGCTTTCCCACCCCCCACCCCCCACCCCACCCCCCGGCCACCCACTGATCTCATCCTGTGGATTTTTCTCATCTTCTCCCACATCAAGCACTGCTACTTAGGGAAAGATGTAGAGATGCAAATGACGGGCGCATGTGAGTGACCTTAACAAGAGCTCAAGAATGTTTGCATGGGAGCTGGGAAGGAAGCCTAAGAGAAGAAGGCCAGCAATGGCATCACTAGAGGAGGGACTATTTCTCTATAGGGGACGACAGCCCCTGCGTTCCTCATTAGATAGGCATAGTGCCAGCTCTAAAGGCTGGCCTTGGCTCTGAATTAGACAAACAGCCTACAGGCAGCAGCTGGTCAGGCTACTTTTTGTTTTATTTCATTTTGTTTCCAGTGCTGGAGATGAAACCCCAGGCCTTGGAGCAGGCGAGTGAGGTGTTTTGCCACTGTATTCCCAGCCCTAAGAACTAGTCAGTCTTAACCACATAGTTCAGTCTTGGAAGAGGGTCAAAAGGTTTTACCTTGACGCTGTTACTTGGAAGGCCAGAGCTGGGAGGCTTGCCTGGCATTTGGCACTCATCCTTACCTTTGAGTGCTCCCGGCCATTTTCTGTGGCTTCTGCCTGGCTTCTGCTGTTACCCCAGCAACATCTGGCATGCACTCTTGAGTTTTAATGATTCAATTTCTCCCAATTTCCCTCTCTTTTCCACAAAGCAGTAGGGAAATCTTTCTTTGGATAAGACAGAATGTGGACAAAGGATAACCAGGAGGACACAGATTTTCAAAGCCCGATTCTAATGGCTTGGCTTTTCTATTAGCTATCTTATATATGTACATCATTCAGTTTTTACAGCTTCTGCTTCCTGCCTAGAATAGTCCATAGGACAGGAAGTACTATGTCCATTTTCACTGGTACAGAACCGAACTCACATTGGGGCACGTCTAGTCAGTGGCAGTACTACTTGGCCTTCTGATTCCAAACCCCATACTGTAGTACATCATGCCACCTTTCTTTCTGCACTCAGTTGACATTAGTAAGGATGCAGAAGTAAGTACCATGCACACGATGCTGGAGACAGTGCAAGAATGAAAGCAGTATGGTCCCCCTACCTCAGTTTATACGGTAATTAAAAAGGAAGACTGGTATATCTCAGTCCCCAACATAACATTTAATTTAATTAATATAAATTGCCAGTGGATCGAGTACTATAGAAATGTACACTTCGGAGGGCTGGAGAGATGGCTCAGCAGTTAAGAGCACTGGCTGCTCTGTCAGGGGACACGGGTTCAATTGCCAGCACCCACATGGCAGCTCACACCTGTCTGTAACTCCGGTTCCAGGGCTTCTGACACCCTCATACATGCAGACAAAACACCAATGCACATAAAAATAAAAAATAATAAATGTTAAAGATACTATAGAAATGTACACTTCAGGTGAGGGATGAGAAGACGGGAAGTCTTCACAGAGGTGAACAAACGATCTAGTTTGGCCTTGGGCGAATGAGTAGGAGTCTATCTCATGGGCAAAGATGAGGTGCTGCAGGTAATGTCAACACAGGCAAAGAGGAAAGGCATGCGGCACAACCGGCTGGAAAAGCAGGTTGGAATGAGATCTTGGAAATCAGACTTGGTATGTGAGGGTGGCTGTGGGAACTGTTTGCGCAGGGTGGGGGCAGTGCTGTGATTAGAAATTCAAGGGGAAGGATTGTCTCGTGGTGGCGGGGTAGGATGAAAGAGGAGAAAGGATGTGGGCGGTGGTGCAGCTAGGAGCCTGTCACACCATGCAGCAGCTCAGAGTGATCTGAAATGGGTTGGTGACAGAAAAGAAGAGAGAGAAAAGAAGAGCAGAGAGTTACGTAGACTAGACTTGCTAATATTTTTTTTCTGACAGATTGTTTTCTTTCTGCAAACTGAAAGGAAGCATTCTGGTGAATGACAAGGTATAGTTAGAAAGGTTGATCAGTCGTGAGGCCATCCTTCTACATAAAGATGGTAGTCATGGCTTATCATTATACCCACTCACTTGCACTCTCTCCTGACCATGAATTTGCAAAGCAGGTGGCAGGGAATAACGGTACACCGTCTGATCGTGGGTTGGAACAAAACACCCAGCATACTCAGTGAACGGAATGGTTGAAAAATTATCCACAATTACAGTGACAGAGTGGGAACTGGAAAACATCCTCTGGCTCCTTAGTCCGGGGTTCTGTCCACTACGACACAACTAAAATGTCTGCTTCATTGGATCGACAATGAAAGGAGATTACTGGGTAGAAAGTTTGGTGCTATGTTTCTGTCACAAGCAAACGATAGCTGACACAATGGGAGGCTTTCAAATGCATCCAAAAGAAGGTCCTCCTCCAACTTTATTGCACATGCTTGTGTGTCTGCATATATATTGGTTTGGGTCCCTGAGTTGTGAATTTTTCAGAGCCACCCCCATTTCTTCATTTCATAACCAATCATGAGCTTGTGTTAGCATTGTAAGTACTGATCACACATATCCAGGGTGTGTGTAGACTTCACTAGCTGAAAGGAAGGAGTTCCTGCAGATCACCAGTGCATTCGGTCTCGGGTTCACCAAAAAAAAAAAAAAAAAAAGCATCTATGCTTGTATTTACATGAGGAAGATCAAAACTAGAACACTACCTCCCCAGCCAGTCAGACAGAGCGTTAACATAAGGACCACAATGATGTCATTGGTAGCCTGACACTGACTCTGCTTTTCAAAAACGTGTTTGAGTGTTTGCCTACATGTACATAGGTGCACCAGATTAGGGCACCAGATCCCCTGGAACTGGAGTTACAGATGGGTGTGAACTGCCATTGTGGGACCAAACCCCAGCCGTCTGCAGGAGGAGCCGGGCTCTTAACCACTGAGCCATCTCTCTAGCCCCTTGACTTTGCTCTTCTAAGGGAAGATTAGAGGTTAGGAGTCTTAGAAGAAAGAGCTTCCTTCAGTTCTTCCTTTTCGTTTTCTGCATTTGATAGTTAAGACTAGTTCATACAACAAACCAACATAATGAGATAGGGTTCCTCTTCCCAGTTCAAGTACTTTAGTAAGGCAAGGGCCTTCTTCCCTCTAAATGCCTCTACCAGTCGTTTCCTTGTCAGGACTGCTGAGCCCTCCTAGGTGATCTGTGCTGAGAACTAGTGCAGTAGCTGGTTCATTATGGTCAACAAATGGGCAATAATTAGCCCATGTCCTAGAATGGCTGCATGGGATAGAGACTACAAAAGGGACAATGAGAAAGAACGGTGCTGCCTTTTGCTCCAAGTAGGGTTTTTTCCAGCACCCTGCAGACAATCAGACCATCATTCCGATTCCGTGTATCTCCTGTCCCTCCAAGCTGACTGGCCAGGGGAAAGAAACAGTGTGCCGGCATAAACACAGAGGCCAGTGGCCCACTGGTGACTGCCAGCTTTAATTGTCTGTGTATCATTTCCCTTCGGTGCTGGGAGCAGAGCCAGCGTTCCAATTGAGATGCACCAATAAGCCCTTGAAGGAGATGTTACGAATGAACTTCAGATGGTTTCATCTGAATGCCACTCATTATTCATCAGGCCAGCTGTCATCTGAACAACAGGAAACCTACCCTTCCACTGGAAGTTTGAGAGCCAAAGAACTGGGAATGCTTTCATTTTGAAAAAGATAAACTTATTGTTTTAGCCCAACTCTGTTCACTTAGTTTTATTCCAAGCTCTCGGTATCATACCCCCTTGTACCATTCTATGGCAGAAAGTACTATTTTTCCTAGTTTCCCAGCCTCATCACTAAGGAATTAACTTGCTTTTTTTGTAGCCTAGAAGGGTGTGCTGTACAGAAGTACTCTTATAAGTATTTCTTCTGGGGTAGGCACTCATGATTGGGGATGCCCTGCTTCCCAAAAAGGCTTATAATAGGGTAGTTTGTGATTTGTACGGGCCGGTAGGATCTGCTGAAGAGGCAGAGGCTGGTGGTTTGCATTTAGAAAAGTCCATGCAAAGTAATTTTAACTAAATTGTAAACCTACTGAGAAATACAAAGAATAGTTTGTCAAACACTCATACACCTACCTCCCATGCTTTACATACTATTTTTAGACAGTCTCTCTCTTTGTATTCTAGATTGGCCTTTTACTTGTTCTGAAGCTCAGACTGGTCTCAAATTCAAGATTCTCCTGTCTTAATTTCCCAAGTGCTGGGATTGCAGGCCCATACCACCAAGCCCAAAATATCTCTGTTGATGTTGAGAGGGGTGTGGAGCGGGGTTGGTTAGCTTTTGTTTTTGTTTTTTGTAATGCTGGGCATCAAGTCCAGGGCTTTGAGCATGCTAAATAATCATGCTACCACTGAACTCCATCCTCGGTCCCTTTGTTTCATTTTTGAGTTTGCTTCTTAGCCAAGCAGTCTTGAATTACTGAGCTCAAGTGCTTCTTCTGCCACAAGCTCCCGAGAAGCCATGACTACAGGCCTGTGTGATGTGGCAAGACCTGCCACCCATGTATCTCCCTTAAATATAATAAAGCCTGGATGAAGATAGAGTCCTCTTCATTTTCCTTCTTGATTCTAGTCCCTCCCCACTTTCCCAGGGGTCAACTTTTCTACTTCCTCCTAGGTACCTGTTTACCTCAAACAACGCCTATGGGTTTGACTGTTTATGGTTGTCAGATACCACAGATCACTGTGCGGCTTGTTTTGCTCATTCATCAGTATGCTTTCATGGCTTCTTTCGTGTGTTTCTATGATTTGTCTAAGCTTATTCATTTTAACCAGATGGGATCCATTGAACGACAATGCCATCTTTTTTTCCATTCCCCTACATTTTCACTTTTAATTGTTGGAGTTTTTCATTCTTAAAAGAAATGTTTGTAGTGTGTCTTCACATGTAGATCTGTAAGAGTTCCTCTAGGCTATGAACTGGGAAATGGAATTAAAGGGTAGAAAATATGTTTCTCCAAATTTACTAGATACCGCAAAGTGACCCTGCCAATTTTACATTCCTTCCAGCAAAGGGTGAGGTGTCAGTTTCTACACATTCTCTCCATCATTTGACGTGATGCCAGTCTGCTGGATGAGAAGCGGATATCTTGTCACTGTTTTTCCATCATTTTTCTGATAACTAGTAAAACCGCAGCTTCACTTATAATTATCATTATAAAGGAAACTCATTCTTTATACTAAGTTTAGCAGAGCTTATTTGAGCAAAACCAAACCCAATTCTCCAATCAGACATCTCCCAGAACCAAAGAGTTTCCAAGAAGTCCAACCACCACATGACTGTCAGACAGCATTTCTGGGGGTGGGAGCAAGGCATTGAAACAACTAAATTGGTGGCATCCTTGTCATCCAGTCAGTCACCTCGTTGTAGGTTAGCTAGTAATCCTTCTAGCCTAATCAGCTAGCTGGATGTAGGGCCTTCCGCAGGAAGCCAAAGCCTCATGGCTATGATTAAAGTTGATATAGGCTTGGACTGCTGGGCTCAGAACTCAATTTCTGGGATGCTGGACTTGGCATACACCTTAGTAACAGAAGTGCATACCTAATGTGTAGAAGATGTTGGATTCTGTTCCCAGGGCTGGAGAAGAGTGAAAAAGTCTGGATTTTGCAGTTATTTCAGGAATTTCTATTCCCTTTAAATTTCAAGAGTATGGAAAGTATGCATTCCAGTGTAGCAATTGCCACCAGCAAGTTAGATGGTTACGCAGATAAAAGGAGAAAATGTTGACAAAGAAGTGGGAAGAATTTGGGGAAGATATCAGTCAGAAGCTGGACAGCTCTTCCTTATAGCTAGCTAGCATTATATGAGGATAGTGGAATTCAAACTTACTACTCAGTAATCCCAGTATAATTCTATGGGGTTTTTCACGTTGTAAAGCACTTCCAAACGCTAGGAAACATTTGAAGTGGTGTGAAGCATGCCAGCATAGTCCAAAGCTCATATCTTGAGCTTTCTCTGTTTCCCCCTGCAGGTTCGTTGTGCTGTTCATGGATGACCTGGGCCATATTTCCCAGTGGAGCTCCATTGTGGCCGGAAGTCTTGCAGGCATCGTTTCTATGATTGTCACATACCCTACAGACCTCATCAAAACCCGGCTGATTGTGCAGAACATGCTGGAACCATCTTATAGGGGTCTTATCCATGCTTTTTCTACTATTTATCAACAAGAAGGGTTCCTGGCCCTTTATCGAGGGGTGTCCCTCACTGTTTTAGGTAAGGTGGAATTTGATCTCTTCTTGACACATGTGAAGGTAATATATACCTTCATGAACATTCAAATCAATTTTAGAGGCCTCAAGATTGTAGGTCAAACAATGCAAGTGACTCAGAAAAGCCTGGCTTCAAATCCACCCTAAAAACTGCCCAGCGGACAGGAGTCTTCAGTGTGTATCTCCACCAGTAGGCACAACAGGATCGCAGTGATAGGTATAGCCTTGGACAGAGCTACACATACACAGAGCCTCTGTTTGCCAAATTCAGAAGGATTCAGTCCATCTCTGCAGTAGTAGATGAGATTAGTCACCCTGTCCTCTGGAGACTTGGTCTCTAGGGTGCCACTGTCTCCTGTATCTTCACATCTTTCTTATCCGACATATCTGGCCCATTTGGGTCATCTGACACTGCCAGCTTCCTTATGTTTGGTTCCCAGGCTCCTCCCTCAGCATTATTTTTACCCTCATTTCTTTTTTGTTGGTGTTTTTGTTTGTTTGTTTGTTTGTTTGTTTGTTTGTTTGTTTGTTTGTTAGAGAAAGGGTCTCACTCTGTAGCCCTGGCTGGCCTGGAACTTACTATGTAGACCAGGCTAGACTCAAACCTGATCCTCCTACCTCTGCCTCCTGAGTACTAAGATTACAAGCACATGTCACCATATCCAGCCTTCTACACTGGCTTTCTTACCCTGCATCCCCTCTTTAGAGGACTCTATCCTAAGCTAGTAGCTTCAACAAACATGAGTATATTTTGACTCCTAATATCTTTAATAATAATGCTAACATTTTTAGGGGTACTCACTGGGTACTAAGTACTTTTCTAGAAGCTTTGACTACAATTTCTCATTCAAAATTTTTTATTTTTATTCTTAGGTTTTAACTTAATATTTTTATTAAGTCTTTGAGAATTGCACATAACGTGTTTTGATCATAATCCTACTCCTCCCATAACTCCTCCAAGATCTACCCCCTCCTCAACTTCATGTCTTCTTTGTTAATAACCTACCCAGTCCATTCTGTGCAGGATCATGGTCAACCTACCAGGGCCGCTCTCTTGAAGAGTCTCCCTCCCCCCACAAAAGTTTATTTTTATTATTTATTAATCATATGTATATATCTATATCTGTATGCAGAGTTATGTGCTCAGAAATGTGGGTCCCCATCAAGTCCAGAAGAGGACATTGGATGGATGTTCTCACATGGGTGCTGAGAACCAAACTCATCTGCAAGAACACAGCATACTAACTGCTGAGCCATCTCTCCAGCTCTCTTTATTTTTAATTGATATATACTTGTTTATATTTATGGGCTATCATTTGATATTTTGATGCATGTATATATTCGATGATGATCAAATCAGAGCACTTCGCATATCCACACCTCAAACATTTATCGTTTCTCTATTATGAGTTCCCCCATTCTCCTATCAAGAATCTGAAATGTGCAATACATTGTTATTAACTACAGCCGCCATGTTGAGCAATAGAACCCCACAGCCTAGTCTTCATATCTAACATTTCACTGTTTGTTTCATTTTTGAGACAAGGTCTCATTAAGTAACCTAGACTGGCCTGGAACTTGCTATGTAGTCCAGGCCGCTTGATCCTCCTGCCTCAGCTTCCTGAGTGCTAGAATTACAGATGTGTGCCACCTTACCAGGGCTGTCTAACTTTTTGCCTGTTGAACAACCTCTTCATTCTACAGATGAGGAAGTAGGTGCACATCGGAAGCTGCATGACTGACCCAAGGTCACACAGGCAGTGGGATTCCCTGACACTATGATTCTGGAACCCTTTCCCTTAGCTACTGACTTACGCCAGTTCCTAATGGAACCATGCCTCTACTGGACGTGTTGGCTTCTGTGTTCCCTAGTTGCAAAATCTGACATCCTCATTCGTCTCAAACTTACTCTTCTTTGTGACTCCCCTAGTAAATAGGACTGCCTTCCTTTCTCCCAGCAGCCCAAGCTTGAAGAAACCAGGAAGCACTTTGGTTCCTCTTCTGACTGTTTCCCCTTTAGTCACTAAGCTTTGTCACTTAGTGACCTCTTTGAATGCACAAGCCTGTTCCCTCGTCAAGCCAGCTCTTCTGCCTTAGCTCAAGCCCCTGTCGTCTTCCCTACTGACTCTACAGAGTCAGACTCTTCTGTTCGTATCTGTGGGTCTGTGCCCGGTGTGCCCTGTGTACTGCTGCCAGATGGGGCTGATCTTTCCAAATGTTCTGCCCTCATTCCACTGCAATCCTTAAAAGCTAAAGGGGAAAGCCAAAGTTCCTATGGCATTCTAGATCCTTCAGGGCTGGCCTCTGCCAGTCTGCCCTACCTCAATCCTCTTCTGTAGCATGCCTCTACCTGCTCTCATGTTCAAGTCATATAGTAATCCGTGTGCTTCCTAGAGAATCACATTCTTCGTACATGGTAGTATGCCCAGCCTTTGCCTGGACTTGCTTTCCCACTCTCCCTGTGTCTGATGGATCTACTCTTTGCTCAAAACCCACTTCAAAAGTTCTCTGTGCTAAACCAAGTGTTGTGATACATGCATATGATGCAATCCCAGTACTCTAGAGGTTACAGCAGGAGAATCATGAGTTCCAGGCTACTCTTGGATACATAATGTTCCTATCTCAAACAACTAGAGACATGCTGGGTCTGTAATCCCTCTCTCCTCCCCCTCCCCGTTAGCTTCAGGAGGTGGAGGCAGAAGTGAAAGTTCAAGGCCCACCTGGGCTATAGAGTTCAAATAAGCCTAGGCAATTTACCGAGACCCATGTCGAAGAGTTGGAAAGGTGGTGGTGGGTAGAGTGGGGTCGGGACTGTATATTCCATCTCTAACATAACACAGAGAGACAGAGATAATTCTCTTCTCTGTCAATAGCTATCGCCTGTACTTGATGGTAAATATCTCCAGAAATTAGCCTGCTCTGTGTTGTAATCTCAGTACCTGGCATAGGGCCCAGCACACAGCAAAAGATCCCTCAATTCCTATTTTGAGACAGGGTCTAATGTAGTGCAGGCTAGGCTTGAGCTCACTATGTGGGCAAGGCTGGCCTTTAACTCCTGTTCTTTGTGTCTCAGCCTCTCTAGTGCTGGGATTACAGGCGTGTGCTACCACTCCTAGCTTCCCCCAAATGTTTTTGAATAAAAATAGAAAAATGGCGAGTCCTTTTTAACATATTTACAATATGTGTTTATTAAATCACACCAATGCCTAAAGATGAACAATATCCCACTTGTGTTCTGCCCCCCCCTTTTTTGCAGTGCTAGGGATGGAACTGAGAGCTTTGCAAGTGCTCTCCTACTGAGCTAGATCCGCAGCCGTATATCCCATCTAGTAGATCTCTTTTTGTATTTTTACTTTGTACTTTACATGTAGCGGTGTTTTGCCTGTATGCATATCTGTGTATCACATGTGTGCAGTATCCATGGAGGCCTGAAAAAGGTGTCAGATCCTCTGAAACTGGAGTTACAGTGTGGTGCTGGGAATTGAACCTGAATGTTCTAGAAGAATGGCCAGTGCTCTGAACCACTGAGGCATCTCTCTAGCCCAAATCTCACTTTTGAGGGACAAATTAGTCCATCTGTTAACTGGAGATGGCTCTGAAAGTTCCTGGAAGTTTGTGAGAGTACTAAATAGTGTGTTATTTGCTATAACATCTTAGTTACTAGGAAGGTGAGCGTGCCACAGTGTATGATGCTAACCAACCCTAAGACATCCAGGCAAGGTCAGGTAACATCCATGGCTACAGTTATCACAGAATGCTTCCTCCTGCACTAGAGAGCACTCCCTCCGGGGGCGGTGGTGGCACACACCTTTAATCCCTTTCTAGCCTCCAAAACTGGATCAAGTGCTGCCTACTAACTTGCTTTGTGTAAGTGATTTTTTAAAGAATTTTATTTTCTTTGTAACCGTGTGTGTGTGTGCGCGTGTGTGTGTGTGTGTGTGTGTGTGTGTGTGTGTGTGTGTGTGTGTGTGTGTGTGTGTAGGTGTGTGCACGAGTATCAGTGCCCGTGGAGGCCAGAAGACTGTGTCACATTCCCTAGAGCTGGAGTTACAGGTGCTTGTGAGCCACCTGATGTAGGCGATCCTCTGTGTGAACAGTAGGTGCTCTCAACTGATGAACCATCTCTTCAGTACCATGGAAATGACTCCCTGCTCCCCCAATGTCTTCCTCCCCAATGTTTCTTTTCATTCTTTTCTCCTTTTTTTTTTTTTTGTATTTCAAACACACAGGAAAGTTCTAAAAATTGTAAATAATTGTATACTCCCTGAAGACCCCAGTTAATACTTTTCCCTTTATCACGTGTTTATACATCCCTCAGAGCCATTCATCGGTCCATCTTTTTCTTTAGTGATTTTTTTTTCGTGGTGGCGCGAGCCTTTAATCCCAGCACTCGGGAGGCAGAGCCAGGTGAATCTTTGTGAGTTCAAGGCCAGCCTGGGCTACCAAGTGAGTTCCAGGAAAGGCGCAAAGCTATACAGAGAAACCTGTCTCGAAAAACCAAAAAAAAAAAGATTTCACTGTGTGACCTTGGCTGTCCTGGAACTCTCTCTGTAGATCAAGCTGGCCTTGAACTCACAGAGATCTGCCTGCCACTCCCTTCTGAGTGCTAGGATTAAAGGCATGCGTCACCACCACCTGGCTCCTTTGGTGATTTTAGTATAAGTCGCAAACACCAGTGTACTTCATCCCTAAGCTGTTCAGCATCTGTATCACAAACTCAAGTTCAGCATCCAGGTTTGGTTGTTATTTTTCTTCTGCCTGAAGCACTATCTCGTGCAGTCAAGTAGTCCAGGCTGGCATAAATATTGCTATGTAGGTGAGGATGGACTTGAACTCCTGATCCTCCTGCCTCCACCTCCTAGGTGCTAGGATTGATTATAGGTGTGTGTCACCACACCCAGCTCTCACGATTTGCTTCTAGGTCTTTTATGTACTAGTGTTGACAGTAAACTGCACCAACCCTGAGTGAACCAGTTCCGGCATCTTGACCAAATGGTGTCGTCACCCCAGCCCCAGAACATGCCCTCTTGCTCATTAGCTGGGAGGGCTTTAAACACCCCCAGACCCCATGCTATTCCTCTTGTCTATCCCCCATAGGCATTCCTTTGCTCCAGACAGTGGTCCCCCCCAGACAGCAACGTCTCCTTGTACTTGATTCCCAGGTGCTGTTCCCTTCTCTGCTGGCTCCCTTCTAGTTTACATGAACCTGGAGAAGATCTGGAATGGACCCCGGGACCGCTTCTCTCGCCTGCAGAACTTTGCCAATGTCTGCGTGGCTGCTGCTGTGAGCCAGACTCTTTCCTTTCCCTTTGACACTGTGAAGAGAAAGATGCAGGTGCGGAGCACTGGCCGGGAGGGGGGCTTGAAGCGTTTGCAGTTAGGTAACCACAAAGAAGGCTAGATTCCATCCCCACCCCGCATCTGCCCTATAACCCCACCACTGATGCCATGTTTCTACCGAGTTCAGCTGCTTTATGCAAATACTGTGCAGTCTGTAACACTTCTGCTAACCTCAGGGCGACTAGCTATCTGCTAGAAAGCTTCCAGATGAGTCTCCCTTCTCTTTCCTGGTCACTGAATACATCACTTACAGTTCTCCTTCCTGCAACACCAGAAGAGAAGGACACTGTAGTATGCAACGTGTTAACTTGCCCTCCTGATGCCACCACAAGGAGGGCATAGCACTCTTTCTTGTCACTGTGCCTTCCCTCAGTAAAATTGATTGGCTAGGACTAAAATAAACCAAGAACCATAGAACAGCAAGGGACGTCAGAAAGAAGCTGCATTTCAAACGGGTGCTATCTTGGCGCAACTGGCCATGCATTGTCTTAACAATTACCCGGGGAAACAAGTTCACTATAGAGCACAAAGGCGAAAGCAAACAGTAAAGACGCAAATTGAAGAACTAGCTTAGCCTAAATTCTTATCAACAAAACCAAATCTGATCAGTTGATATAACAAGAGGGTGTTGATTACAGCCACGTGTGGGTAATGGGAATCCAAGCTAGACTGGAGGTTTTGTGCCTTCCCTCACCCTGCTCACTCCACTGGCTTATCTGCCTCCTTAGCCTCTCTTATATAATCTGTGTGTCCCTGAAGCTCTGTGTGGAAATGAATCCGAAGTCGTTTGCATTTGAAACTTGAAATGAGTAGTCCCACTAGTTTCTCCACGTGACTCTGACTTGTCGTTCCTCCAGTTTCTCAATGCTCCTCCCCACTTCCTCTTTCTCTACTACAGCATCCTTTGACCAGTCTGGTCAGTGCCAACAAACTAATGCTGTCTTCAGACATGATGACACTCCACTCTGCCACTCCGGTCCACAAAACATCTCCTCTGTCTGGCTTGCCTTTTTCCTGTCCTTGTCCAGATGAACCACCGCCACGTTGGTGTGACTGTAGTGCAGGTACAAAATGAAGAGTCTCCTTAGTGCCACTTACAATGAATATAAGGGGTTGGGGATTTAGCTCAGTGGTAGAGCACTTGCCTAGCAAGCACAAGGCCCTGGGTTCGATCCTCAGCTCCAGAAAATTTAAAAAAAAAATGAACATAACTTCTGATTTAAAAAATAATGCACAGCCAGGCGGTGGTGGCGCACGCCTTTAATCCCAGCACCCGGGAGGCAGAGCCAGGCAGATCTCTGTGAGTTCAAGGCGAGCCTGGTCTACAAAGCAAGCTCCAGGAAAGGCGCAAAACTACACAGAGAAACCATGTCTTGAAAAAAAAATAATGCACATATTAAAACATGGTTAAAATGGTTGATCTCACATTATGTATGTTTGGCCACAATAAAAAAGTAATGTACTTGTTGTTGCAGAAATTTTAGGAAAATAATAAATTATTCTTAGGCCAACTCCCATAGACTATAAGTTACTAGTTTTTCTTCTATATATGTTCACATATTGGTATATACCATTTTTTAGGAAATTGTGTTTAGACTGTAAATAAAAGTTAGTAGTCTGCTCTTTTCACTTATCACATGGCAGATACAGCTCCAAGCCATTAAATGTTTAATTGTCAAATGTTATTTCACCATATGAATGTGTTAGAAATAGTTAAAATTTCCCAGTTCTTAAATAATGAGACTATTACTCCTTCTTAGGTATAACAACAGCATAATGAAATCTCTTAGGTTTTTTTTTTTCACATCATATCCCTAGAAATTGACTTACAGGTCACAAGACCTGAATCAGTCTAAAGCATTTTATTTTGTAGGTACTGAAGATTGAACCCAAGGACATGTGTGAGTTAGATAGGCATTCTACTACCACTGAGCTACATCCCCTGCCCTTACATTTTTTTGTGTGTGCCAAGATCTCCCTAATTTGCCAGGGCTGGCCTTGATCTTCCCATGTGACCCAGGAAGGGCTTCAAACTAGTTAAGAGCTTCCTACCTCAGCCTCCAGGGTCCAGGGTACTGGGAGTTTAAGCATGAGCTATGCGCGCACACACACACACACACACACACACACACACACACACAGTCTCTCTCTCTCTCTCTCTCTCTCTCTCTCTCTCTCTCTCTCTCCCCCCTGGTTTTTTTGTTTGTTTGTTTTGTTTTTAGACGGGGTCTCAATGTGTCCTGTAGACCAGGCTGGCCTCAAACTCAGAGATCTGCCTACCTCTGCCTCCCAAGTGCTGGGATTAAAGGCGTGCGCCACCATGCCCAGGCTCTTACTGAAAGTTACACTCCAAAAAGTTAGAGGTTTCATTTGCACCAGCAATAAGGGAGAGTGATCCAGCTCCTGTCATGACATCACCTGTCATTTCTCAAGTCATTGTGAATGCAATAGCTGAAAATGTGTTTGCATTACTTTAATTCTAATTCATTATAAGTGAGGTTGCAGTTTTCACAGTTGCCCCTTGCATTTCCTTATAATTTTTATATGCCCTTTGCCAATTTGGGGGATAACTAGATTTTCCTATTGATTGGTAACAGGTCTTTACATATTAAAGGCATTAATGTTCGTCATGCATTGCACATTGTCCTCGGGTACTAAGCACCCTAACCATATATAATAAGCTATACCCTTCCCATAACAGTCTGCCACCAACGAGGGCAAGGGATACTGGCAGTGAAAATTTGAGTGCAGTCTAAACCATTTTTCCCTTTGTATGGAAACCTTCTGGACAATGCATACGTAGAGCTTCAAGATACTGCATTCAGAGCTGAGTATGGTGGCACATCCCTGTAATCTCAGTACTTGGGAGATAAAGCCAAAAAGACCAAAACTTCAAGGTCATCCTCATATATAGCCTCAAGAAAACAACAAAAGCAGAGAAAACAGCTTTCAGATAAATGCAAAATCATACTGGTTGTTTTAAAAAACACAATATAATCAAGCTGTAAAACAGGATAGGCAGCTAATTATGAATGACATCATAAATACCACCTGAAAATACAGTAAGTCAATTAATATGGATCTTATCAAGAATGTTATTTTCATGGGTTAATAAATATAATAACTTGTCCATTTTATATATATACATTTTTAAAAATTAATACCCAGGACAAAACCAGGGGCTTTTAAATGCAAACACGGCATTACCTTCTCTGACCACTAGGTGTCACTGCAGTAAATGAAGAGTATCTGAGCCCTGAAAAGGTATATGAGCCCTCAGCTCAGGAACAGTTACCAACCTCACAATCCCAGATCAAAATCATTTTCAGTTAGGAAGATAAGGAGCCAGAAGCAACAGGAAACACCTCAAGTCTTTTTTTTTTTTCTTGTAAAGCACACAATGCAAAATTCATCTAAAAGAGAACACCATAAAAACCATCTGCCCCCACTGGATTACCAACTTAATTTGTCACAAGGGACTTGTACAGGGCAACCTAGCTGCTGTGACCTGAACACAGTTAATGGTAACATTTGCATTCCATTGGTTTTCTCCATGGCACTGCCCAACATGAAGCAAATCAACAGCAGGTGTCTGGTGGAGAGCCAACTAAGCAGGGAATTTTTCCCAGCACCCACAGTGGCTGGCGCCTTTGTCTGAGTGCCTGGTTGTCTTAATAGGCTTTTATGCAGACACTGGTGCATACAGTCTGTCTGTTTAATACCACACCAGGTTGGAACCCTTCTGAACACTAATGACAATAATCAGAAGTCTTGTTTAACCACCTGGGCCCTTCCTTCACCAAGCTTACACTCACTTTACTCTGTTTTTCTTTTTCGTGCTTGGCATGCTAGAGGATGATGGAGAGGTAAATAATTTATGCATGTGCATGTTTTGAGAGAAGGCTTCTGGTGGGGGGAAGGGTCAGCTGCATGCCCGAGTGGAATGAAGTGCCTCTACCTGGTGTGTTTTCAGACTCTAACACAACCCTGCCTGAAATCTTCTCACACTTCGGGCATTTGAACCCAAGCTTTTCCAGATAGAGCCTGGCCCTTCTGTCTGGATCTCCACCCCTGGCTAAGAGCCTGGGTCAGAAGATCCTGGCAGTACTAAGTGTATTGAAGAAACAATATGCAGGGCATAGTGGCCTGATCCTTTAATCGCAGTACTTGGGAGACAGAGGCAGATGGATTTCTGTTAGTCTGAGGACAGCCTGGTCTACACAGCAGGTTCAAAACCAGCCAGAACTACACAGTGAGTGAGACTTTCTCTCTCAAAAAAAAAAAAAAAAAAAAAGGAAGGAAGGGGAAGGATTCAAGAAAAGAGAAAAGAAAAAAGAAGATGGGAGAAATGTTGATGAAAATTAATTTATGGAGTAATCTGTAAGCCCCTATTAAGGACCAAAGAATCCTAAAAAAAAAAAAAAACATATAATGGTTCCATAGGCAGGAGTATGTGAGAGGGTAAGACAGGCTGGGGAACACTGTCCTGGGAATCTGGGGAGCCACTGCCCACATGAAGCCTGGAGTCTGATAGGCCTTCTGAATGAATCAGGAAGGGGGTCCATGGGCACCCTCTCCACTCTGCCTGCTCCCTACTCTGTTGCTCGTATTGGGTATCTCCATTTCATCAAATACAAAGCCACGTATCAGCCTGTTGGTTTGTACCCCGGTGGACTTTGCCGCCGCCACCACAGCTCACAAGGCAAGCAGGACTGGGCCAGGTCAGCATTTGAACTGAACGTGCATAAAGTGGAGGACAAAGGTGGGATCCAAGTGGCCGAGCTGACAGAGCAGAACGCACACGGTCAGTGAATAAACAGAGGCCCCAGCCTGCTCAAACAGACTCCAGTCTGACCCAGATGCTCACCACCTTGAGCAACCTTTGCTGAGCAGGACACAGTCACTTCATACCTCCACTCAGAGCTTCTTGTGTTCCATGCTGCGTCTTCCAGCCCAGTCTCCCTCCCTCAGTCCTGGGCCCATGTTTCTCACAGCCTGCTGATCAGTGCCATTGGCTGTCACATCTCCATGGTCACTTCCAACCCACTGTGTATCCAAGTTACTATTCTTCCCCTAAAACTGTCTTCTTCGAGTTTTCCCTTTCAGGGCCATCACTGTCCCACACAGCCAAGCTAAGCAGCCAGAAGTTAGGTTCAGCTCTGCCGTCCCCTCACCCAACCAATCCAAAGCCGGGTCGCTTCTGCACTCTTAACTCTCCCATAAGGGCCCCTTTTCTTCCTGCCCTGACTCCAATCAAGGACCTTATCAGCTCATACTGTAGCACATACTGTTCCCTAGGAATGATTCTGAAAGTGATCATCAGCACTGAGCAGGGAGATACAGTAGGCACTGGGCCAACTGTATGTTCATTACGTCATCCAATCCTTACAACAATTCACCAAGTGCCAAATGAGCACTGTTCCTACGAAGCCTGTTTTATTGCGGGCCCCGGTGCACTCAGACAGCTCGAGGGAGTCAGTGCTCTCTGTGCACCGCGCAGGCTCTGGAGCTTAAACTCAAGTCATCAGTCTTGGCAGCAAGCACTTTTACCTGCTGAGCCATCTTGCTGGTCGAGATGAGAAAAACGGAGGCACTCCAAGGTTCCGTAGCTTACAAACCCATCTTCGAGTAACTGAACTGGGATAAAGGCCAGGCGGTTTGCCTCCGGGATCGGCACTCGTTTCCACCCCGGCAGCCTACCCCATGAGTTTCTTGCAGAACAAATGTTCTTTAGCCCTGTCTGTGTTGCTCCTTCTCCATCACCTTTAGAGAATAAAGGACGGCCCATTAGTCTGGCATGTTTCCCTCACCAGCTTCACTGTTCTTTTGTGTAGAGGCCCTTTGTATAGGGAGTTGCAAAATTAAACGTCTGTAGGAATTCCGAAGCAGAATGGACAGGAGAGCTAGGGAAACCCAGATAACAGGCACTCAGCCCCAAACAATAAGCCTTCAACTGCATTCTAAGCCGTCGTGCCTTTTGAAAGCATTCTGGAAAGCTAAACTCTGTGCTCGCAGAATGTGATTAGCATTTAAATATGCATACCAGAAAAGAGTGAAATGAGCTAGTGCAGGCTGCAGCTAGGCTGCAAGCTTCTCTCCTCCAAAGGATGGTTGTCATTTAGAAATGCAAGCTCAGTTTTCAAGGGAGCCTCCAAATCCAGATTTCGCTGTAAAATCTTTGTATTTTTCAAGGTTCCAAATTTAAAAAAAAAAAAAAAAAAGTACTGACTGGGCAAAGCAAAACGTGTCTTCTTTTGGTCTCTGCTCAATTCAGCATCCACTTGCAATAGTGAAGAAGTTCCCCTCCCCCAAGCCCTGAAGACCAAATGTATTTTATATTCCGGTCAACAGGCCTTTGTTCCTGCAGCTACCTCTGCCTCCGCATCACTTCTGTCTCTGTAAAGGTTCAGCTGAGCTCGCTTTGGTCGTTGGAACTGTTGCTTTTGTTTGCTAGGTTTTCCCACCCCTAAGGCACTTACCATGGAAAGGCACATATTTGACCCTTTGAGAACCACAATGCAGACCACTGGGGAAGGAATTCTGGGGAAGAAAAAACCGAGTTAACTATAGAGTACATTCTCTGAAAAGGTTGATGCTGTTTTTCAGTGACTTCCACTTATACCCCCATGTCCAGGGGCACAGTAGTTGCATTCCAAGAAGTTCGTAGGTGAATAACTCCTTTTAAAGAATGCTGTTGGCCTATCCATGGGTCCCGAATTCTGATCATTTTCTCTCGATTCATTTTTTTTTTATCTCAGCATCATTGCTCTGCTGTGCCTTCCCTGTCAAAGCTCCCTCCTGATATCACCTCTTATTTTCCCAAGCAGAGGTAGTCTCCTCAATCCCAGTGGCATTAGCTTGCTTAGCTTTGAGCACCCCTACTATGGAACTCTGAAATCCAAAATGCTCTAAAGTCAGAAACTTTGAGCATCCACATGATGGAAAATTTCACAACTGCAAACAAAATTCAGGCCCACTAAAAAGATTGTATGTCGGCTGCAGAGATGGTTACTGCATACTCGCAAGGGTCTCAGCTTGAATTCTCCAAGCCCATACGAAGATAGGCACAGTAGTGTCCATCTATAATTCCAGCACTCCTATGTTGAGATGGCAGACAGAATTAAAAGAATCCCCCAGAAACTCATGGCCTAGATAGCCTGGCACACACAGCAGTAAACAGAGATGCGGTCTCTAATAAAATGGAAGCCAGGACCACATCTGAGATTATCATCTCACCTCCACACATCACACATAAGCCATGGCACACATGCACTAGCATATATACACACCCATACACCATATACACATATACACGTACAGATAATAATAAAAAAGAAAAATAATACACAAAATAAAAATGTATAAGACTGCATAAAATTACCCTTGTGCTAACAAGGGAGATAGGAAACATAGTCAATTTCATGCTTAAACTTTGCTCCCATTCAAAGATCTCTCATTATAAACAAATATTCCAAAGTTAAGAAATATTCAAAATTTGAGGCACTTCTTGTCCCGATCATTTTTTGACAAAGGATACTCAACCTATGTAGCTCTCTTAGGGACCATGTCACAAGATCCCTTGTATTATAAATGTCTGGCTCCTTTCTCTAAATTGTAAGCTCTTTGCCTATGGGGAGTATATGTTATACTTTTGTGTATCCCTGTAACGTGTAGTCTCACGTAACAGGCACTTGATACTTGTTTAAAAATGAATGCTGTTGAAGGCAGGCTTAGGGGATCTCCCTGTGAGTACAGAGTTGAACCTTTATGGCACTGAGTGAACCTCAAGTCTGTGTGCTTGTCCCAACACAAGCTGAAGGTAAGAACACCCAAGCCTGCCCTCTTCCCAGCCTGCTTCCCTAAAGAAACCTCTTCTTGTCCCCTAACGCTACCTACACGTGTTGTTCTGAGAGTGCGGTCTCCTGCCCTGTGCTACCCAGGGCTGCAAGCTGTTGACTGGTCAAATGGACAAGAAAGAGCCAGGCACAGTGTCCAAAGCGTATCGTCCCAACATCTGGGAGGCTGAGGCAGGAGGATCAGGCTTTTCAGATCAAACTTTCAGACCTGCCTGGGCTATAAAGCAAGTTCAAAGCTAGTCTGGGCAATTTAGTGAGGCCCTGTTTCAGCCAAAGATGACAGGGAACAAAAAATCGCCACACTTTTCATTTGCGCTCCTCTTGCATCCCAACCTCCCATCACTTCACGTGGGCCCGGGGGCACTTGACCTGTCACAGCACCATCCAACCGATAGTCCTTAGGTGACCGTTTTTCAGGAAGTGTAAGGATGTGTGTGAATCTGTGCTTGTCTTGGCTGAAGCTTTTGTCAGGGCTAGAGGCATGAGGATTTATTTGTCACAGGAGATAAAGACAGTAGAAAGCCTGCTGTGGATTAAGGACCTGTAATGACAACATACTACCATTTGCTGGTCAGATAATATACACAAGGCAGATTCTTAACTCACTTCATCCTCTTTATCGACCTCCAGAATAAGGACTATCAGGATTCTTCTTATTTCACGGGTGGGAAACTGCTTGCCCAGGAGTCACACAGCTGGTGTATGTGAGAGCAGGTCTCTCCTTCCCCAGGCCTTTCCTTTATCCCCTAGGAAGTGCGGGGCTCTTTCCTAGATGCTAGGTGATTAGCTAATTTAGACTTTTGATCCCTTGCCTCTACTGGGAGGTGGGGAGCTGGTCCTTGAGGACTGGCCGCTCGAAATTTCAGTGCACAAGGTGAAAAGGCCCAGAAACCGACAGGCAGAAGGCTTACTCCTCTTGAGCTGCTCTAGAACAGTGAGAGGTGGCTTCTGAACAACAGAAATGGATTTCCCCCAGTTCTGGAGGCTGGGAAGTTCAAAGTCAAGGCAAAGTTGACATCCAGAGAGTGCTCACTTCTCATTCTTAGATGACACCTTCGTGCTGTGTCTTTCCGTGGTGGAAGAAGCAGGGCAACTGCTGGTGTGGCTTTTTGGACACTAACCTCATTCCCGAGGCCTCTGGCTTCATGGTCTCATTACCTCCCAAAGGCTTCACCTCCTGAAACGTTACATGGGGATGAGGATTTCAACACAAATATTTGGAATGTAATAAGCCTGGTTTAGGCCAGAAGCTAGTTACCTGAAATTAAAACGGGAAAAATATGCTTTTTGTTTTGTTTTTGTATTTTTTTTCGAGACAGGGTTTCTCTGTGTAGCTTTGCGCCTTTCTTGGAACTCACTCTGTAGCCCAGGCTGGACTGAACTCACGGAGATCTGTCTGCCTCTGCCTCCCAAGTGCTGGGATTAAAGGCATGCGCCACCACCGCCCAGCTCGGGAAAAATATTCTTATAAAAACTGTACTATTGTGGACCTCAGTAGCAGCAGCCTGGCCCTGGAAGCCCCAGTGGCAGCCTTAGCAAGCATAGGAAAGAACAGAGCACAGGCACAGACCATCAGGCAGCCACAGGCTGCTCAAAGGACTGAGAAGGAAGTCCTGGGATCCCTGGAGGGAGCAGGAGCAAGACTCCAGGAAAGGAAAGGAAATTGCTCTCCTGGCCACTAGTAGAAGATGCTAATGGAGTTTAATGGTTTGCCCACTTGAGCGTCTCCTGGATGGCACAGCATCTCTTCTTAGTGAGAAGGAGACCACTGAAATGTCCAGAAGTACAGTGTTGAGGGCTGAGTGCTGAGCTCTCGGGGTGGTGAGGGAGACTGTGACCCTCACCTTTATTGCTGCTCCCTGATGTCTGGCCCCTTTGAGGACTCACTTCTGCCCAAGTGAGTGTCATTGCCTTAGCAGTTAGAAGCAACGGTGAAGCATTCATGAAGATGGGCTTGGTTTTTGAGCACTGTTTTTTAAAGTGAAGGGGAAAGAAAACCTGCCTGCCCCCTGCCCTTGTGCGTTCAAAAAGTATACAGTGCCCTAAATACTTTGGGGGTAGCAGTTCTTGATGAGGGAAACAAGACCGTCCCTAGAGGCCAGGCAAGGAGGGAACAGGAGGGCCTTCCCAGCCCAGTGAACTGAACTCTGCCCTTTTCTCCTGATCTGAGCTGCCTTGTTCCTTGGAAGCAATAAAAACCGGGGAGTCTAAACAGCCACTTGGTGCTAAGCTCTGTCTAAACACTAAGAGCTGCTAAGATAAGACCTTCTCCCACCTCCAGCCCCCAGAAGAGCAAGTGAAGAGAAAGGGAAGGGAAGAGAGGCCCCAGGAAACACCGCTGTCAGACATAAAAGGTCAGCAGTCACCTGGGAGGCCTCTGCTGTCTGGAGGATGTGAAAATGGAGTTGTCTGGAGGATATGGGAAATGGAGTTGACTGGCCCCGCTTGCTCATTTGCAGCAGTTTTGGAGATGAAGCACCTACTTTCACCAGTTTCCCACCATACAGTTACTTATGCCCATGGCTGTGTCCCCCTTGAGCCTTTGGTTAACAGATCAGCTCACAGGGGGTGATGACATGGTCCCAGCGTGGCCCTTAGTCCCGTGTGTGGACAGGAATAGGCCACAGGACCTCTGGGCCTCATCTTCCTCACAGTGCATACAGCATCAGGCAGAGAACTGTGCCTTCTTCAAGTGCCTGTGCAAAGACTGAAGGGCGCTGTTGAACACGGGCCCATTGCAAATGCTGTGCTCAATGTGCTTGGAGCACCTACCTATTCAGCATCCATGTCGTGCTCAGAGGACAACCCACAGCAGTCAGTTCTCTCCTTCCATCATGTAGGCTCCAGGCTGCCAGGCTTGGCATCATACGCCCTAACTGGCTGGACCATCTCACCAGGCCAAATTTTAAAAATAAAATAACAGGGGTCAGGGGTATAGCTCAGTTGAAAAGTGCTTGCCTGACATGCACAAGGCCCTGCTTTCCGTCCCCAGAAAGACAGACGTGTACTGAGAAGCCACCAAGCGCCAGTCCTGCATATAACTGTATGCCCTCAACCTCCTGGAAATTGTCATCTTCCAAATTTGTTTTCTTCATGTACATTCTCCCTTCCAGTCAAGATGTTGCTGTCAAGGTTTGCGCTTAGAAAATTTAGCCATAACTCCTGGGTGGGGGTGGGGGAGCCCCTTGGCTCAAGCCCCTGGGCCTCTGCACAGTCTACTCACGCTTCCTCACAGGCTGCTTACCTGCATCTCAAATGCGCTCTCTTGGAGGCTCAGCTATGCTCTGGGCTTCCCCACCCCCAGCCCTCAGTGGCCACACTGGCATTGACTGTTCCTCTCCTCTCTTCACAAGCACAGAACTAATCTGCTGTCTTTGCTCGCCTTTCCTAAAATGACGGCAGGCTTTCGGAGCAGCTCGTCAGTCCTCAGGCCTGATGCTGAAATGTAAGACATTTACGCTGGCAGAATCAAGGGGAGCTCCCAGGCGGGCACTCCACTGCAGAGCAGCTGCCCGGCTACAGCACAACGACATGGGGCCTGGCTACACCAAAAGTGATAGGAGTCATGTGGTTCACAAGACAGCAAGATCCATTCACTGCAGTATTAATAATGGCTTGTTATTGCTGCTGTGGTTTAATTATTGATTCTAATTTCATTTATGTAACGATAATAAAATAGTCTGA